GGCGGGGCAGTTGGGTTATCTGGGCATTCTGAGCCAGCGATTCGCTGATGGCCCCCATACCTTGGAAATAAAGACAAACAGTTTGAGAGGCTGGTGCCCTGCTATTCCCTGTGTCCTGGCTTTGTATGGAGGTTACGCAGGCACAATTCACTGGCAAAAGCAGCGGCAGGGCTCTAGAATAGTTTGCAAAGTGTAAAACTTCAACCACCGTGTACAGTCATGCAAATGTTTGGGTCAAAATACATGTTTTGTTAAAGTGAAAATAAGTACACATCCTCTACAAAGAAAAAAAATAATTTTGTAAATTTTTTTGTACATTTTTTCACTTAGAAAATTAACAAAATATGTTGTTCATTTTTCAGTGTGAGATTAAAAGCAGGAAATATATATTCAACACTAATTATAATGTCAAATCTGTCAACATTTAAGTTGTCCACTATCGTTTGTGTGAGCTACTACCACTTTTATTCATTTACATTAAATTACAGCTCCCAGCAACAACCAACTTCTAAGACTGAACTTTGGAGGTGTGGAAAAATTTCCCTGCAGATTTCTTTGACAGACTGAAAGCAAGTCTCCAGAAAAGAATGGAAGCTGTAATGAATGGTTGGTGCACTAAATGCTGGAAATGTTGAAATTATATTTATTTGTTGAGGCTTCTGTATAATTTTCTGTTAAACATATGTTTTCTGCTCTTTTCCTGACACTGAAAAATGAATAACTTGTACTTATTGTCTGTTCTGGATGGAAATTAAATAAATGAAAGGGTGGTCAGTACAGTATTTGTTCAGAAATAAATATATTTGGCCTAGATTACAATCCAAAATATTTCTGGGCTTGTCTTCTATTGTCTCACTGCAGATTAGCACTGTTGTAAAAAGCCTGTGATATCATACGTTTTGGCATTCAAGCCAGTGAACTATTAAAGCAGCAGTATCCTGTTAATGACCCAACCAGGGTGCGGCGGTTCAAGCCGGTGTCCAATGTGATTTGGCCCAGTAGAGGCTGTGGTTGATTTGTGTAGTAATAATTAGCTAAGGATTGATTGCTGAAAAGATCAGCCATGAATAAACCAGAGATCCAAAGATCTTGTGTTCTTAGTATTCCACTCACCACAAACACTGCATTTCTGGTCCTTCCCAGCCTAATAGCACACAGTCACACAGACAGTTACAGCACACAAACATGCATTAAACACATCGAGCGCATTGATTCATGGGTTTATGACCGAAGTGTAATTGTGTTAGCCGTTATTGACGAGAAGTCTTCCATTAGAACGGTTGCCGTGGCAATGACACACATTTTCCCCTCCGCGGTGTGCAGCACGTTAGTATCAATAATAACACATGCCAATAACCTTAGCATCAACGCTCGTCTGTTTTAATAGGCTGCTGTAACCAGGACATATAATAAGCAGCTTCTGCCAGGAATATTCTCCTCAATGTCTCTCTCTTTCTGGCTTGCTCACTCTCTCCAGCCCTGTGCTCCAATTGATATTTTGACCTGCACATTTCAAAGAGACAGGTAACTATTAAAGCTCGTTTGTCAAGCCTGATTCATTCGACAGTGAGAATGCATTGGTCTCTGAGGGTGGGGCTCTACTGGAATGCATCTCAGCACCTCTGTTTGACTTGCTGGGAATCCACCAGGCCATTTAGGGAGGCTTTGAAGCTTCTGCATGTACATTAGCGGCCGACGCACGCTGGAAGTTGTTTTTCTTGAATCTTAGTCACTGCACCCAGGCGTCTGTGGGGGGGGTGGGGGTTAGTAGGGCCGATACAAGAACAATGTCTTAGCAAGCACTCAGGTTTCCCTCAGAGATAATCAAAGGGGCTTTTGATGTCGCTGGCATCCAGTGCGATCCAGATATTTGTAATTTGGAGTGAAAAAAGCTCAGGTTGGAGCACAGAGAAAGTTAACAGTTCTGACAGGTGATTTGCAGATACCGCTCTGTAAACTTCCACAACAAGCTCAGGCAGGCACGAGAGCAAAGCTGTACACAGGCATTATCAGATGTTTATCTGGGTCATGCCGTCTTTCATACGCCATGCATCATAATTACAGTATAATGTGTACACATTTTGATTTCACCAAAAAAAAATTGCTGTGGGTTTGTTATTGGTGGGTTTCTCTACTTTTTCTTTTGTTTTCTTTTCTTGTCCGATCTCAACTTGACAGTATTGTCCCCTTGCATAAATAATGAACTTCTTTCACCTCCTCAAAAAACTCCAAAAGCAAAAGCCCTTTCTGCGATACCTTTTGCGACTGATCCGTGGGTGTACCTTCTGAAATTTTATATGATGAAATAACATGAATTATTAAAATTCTGAGGCATTTTTACCACATACGTCTGCGTTTTTATGTTTAATTGGCCCTCTTTGGCAGGGGCTCAGAGTGGAGAGGTGTTATGTAAATATATTCCCACAGAGGGCCATTTGACATTTTGTGGAGCACTTGAGCTGTAAACGAGGAGAACATTGCCATAGTTAAAGAGACAGAGTCCCTTACCGTGGATCTGATAAGACATGTGAGGCTTAGTCATGCAGATTGGACGGTTTGATTTTGTGACCAATCAGTGCGTACCTGCCTCCCCCCCTTCCTCCACCTCTCGACAAGGCCCTCTTGTCAAGGGTATTAAAGGAAAATTGCATAATGCGATTTCCAGTGCTCTCTAATGATAGTGCAGCCCTCACCAATTAAATAGAAAAGAGATAAGAATGCCTTTCTTTGGGAAAGGTTAGATTTTATGAGGGAAATGGCTATGTGGCAGGGGAGCTCCGTTTTGCTGGTTCTTCTTCTTCTTCTCTGGTCTCTGTTCTGGCCCAGAGCGAAATCTAATCAAGAAAATGTTCGCAGGATCCCTGGGCGATTAACACCGGCCAGGGTGGCCCATAAAAAGCTGGACATTTTGAGACCAACGTCAGCTGTGCTAATTGCAAGTAAAAAGGAGAGTAGAAGAGGGTTGGAGAGAGGGAGAGAGAGATATTCTTCTGTCAAAGAGTAAATTCGTTTCTCATTAATGAATTAGGCAATGGGGAGATAGTCTTGTTGAGCAAACGGGCAAATCCCACTCATCACTCAATCAATGCCCTGAACAGGCATCTTCATTGGGATGTGTTCATGTGTGTGTGTTCATTCAGAGTTATATAGGATAGAAAGCAAAAGAAAGAAAATATGTGCACTGTGTCCTTTTCTAAGTGACTATAACACATGCAGTAAAAGTCCTATAAAAGGATAAACAGATAAATCAGGGCTTTGTGTTTTGCTTTTTTTCCTGTCTGTCTGGCACAGAGGAGCAAGGGCACTCAAGTTCATTTGAAGTCAGCATAGTTCCTCCAGCCAGAGGCCCACAACAGCCTGCCTCCCATTGCTTCAGTATCCTCCTTCTCTATCCAAACATTAAGCGGAATAATTTGATCAACCATAAAAACATTTCTGAAAGGTCCCACCATTTGTTCAATAAACTGCCTAGCAAGACTGTATAATATGGACCTAATGCTAGTGCAGCAATAAGTCAGAGATTGCTCTTCATTTATTTTCCAATCAAAATGGCCATTAAGTACACACATTTTCACATTCTGTAAGCTGATTATCCTCCTGGGTTGCGGGGGGGAGCTGGAGCCTATCCAAGCTGTCATTGGGCGGAAGGCAGGATACACCCTGGACAGGTCACTGGTCCATTGCAAGTACAATTATTTCATTTTCATGTATGTACAAGTTAAATCTTAAATCTTTTCAGATGTAAGATAGATATAAGATATTAGAAAAAATAAAAAAACTTGTGCTTATAACTCAAAATTACATAATTGAATGGTTATGAATGAATACTCTGACTTTTGCACAGTATTGTATTACGATTGTAAAATGCCTTGTATTATATTAAGGTACAGTACTGTGACATGGTGAAAGTTGGGCCTGTATGGTTTTGACCAAATCATGCACTTTTGTGGGATTGCAGTCATACCTTAAATAAAAATGCCCACAGAAACATGAGTGATTGGTCAAGATGCTCAGCGCACAGTAAAACACATTGTGATTGGTTAGTGCAGTCATTTGCATACTGCTTCTGCAATATGAGTACTGCAGAGACCAATATCGCAGTAATGATTCATAGACAGTGTATTGTGCAGCACTACAGCCTAGCATCAAAGTGCTAGCAAATTCATAATCAGTCCATTTTAGCAACATACTGCATCTGGACCATGCTCTGTCACCTGTTCTGAGTGAGGTGACAGCTGTAAATTCACTTTGACTCTGTCAAGTGGATCATGTTTTACAGCTCCTCGGCAGCCTGTTCTAAACTGTCCAGCATGTCTGGATAACTCTGGAGTGCTCTAGTCTATCAAGATCTACCAGTGTCTGAACTTTCTGCAACTTGCATGGTGCATTACGAGAGCCTGTTGGGTACTATCAGGGGTGCTGTAGTGCTTTTTTATTGTTAATTTTTTTGTAGCATCTCAACACTGCCTAGGGATGTTATGATGGAAGAAAAAGGAAGTGCACAAACTGTGTTGCTTTTCACTCTGATCGTGTAGGCCTGAATGGCGTGGCTCTTTGCCCAGAAGCCTTTATATTGCCAATTCTAACAGAGGGCTGTCATGTTAAAACAGCAGTTTGGGCCATTGTAAAACATTATATCTCACATGTCTGTATTTCAAACCCGCCTGGCTTATCTTTCCGTCTTGATAGATAAGCAATATGGATTCAGGTTGCAGTTTCTCCAACTTCAGCAGAAGGACGTTGATTGAATTAGTAACCGTTCAGACGGCTGGAGATGACGATGAGTGTCAGCAATGATCTTTTGCACTGTGCGAGTTGGCTCAGCATGTTACATAGTTACATCCCTGTTGTAAACATAAAAACAGCTTTCAGCCTGTAAGCAACGCTTGCTGTAAAACACAGTAGTTGTAAAACGTTTTTGCTTTTAGAAATGATGGCCTTATGTTGTATGCATTAAATGGAATGTACTTGATGATCTCAATTTGTCTGCATGCTTGCAGGTGATGATGCGGAGGAGAAGAGGGTTCTGGTGCTAAGTTATCCACAGTACTGTCGCTACCGCTCTATCATCGCACGGCTCCGGGAGCGGCCGGCCTCCCTCCTGACGGACCAGGTGGTGCTGGCACTGGGGGGCATCGCCTCGCTTACCAGCAACACACAGATCCTCTACTGCAGGGACACTTTCGAGCACCCCACGCTACTAGAGAATGAGAGCATCTGTGACGAGTTTGGTAAGCACCCCGCAAGTGGAAATAGTTGGAGTGACTGTATTAATTGACCTGTTAATTCACTGTCCACTAGTACTTCCATTAGTTTACAATTGATTTATCCATGTTCTACCTACAAATTCGTTCTTTCAAAGCCACCATTCCAAGTTAGCAGAACCATCTAGCAACATTAAACCATCTGAAGCCAACTCTCTGCTTAGCCTGTCAGTTAGATGTTTATCCCTAAAATCCTTGACTACAAGAAAAAACTACACCTTATCACTTTTTACATACATAGAAAATATCATCTGAAATTATTAATGCACTCTAAATGTATATTGACATAAAAATACTTAATTTGACAAGAACTGTTGTTGTCATTGGTTGTAATGGAATTTTTGCCAGCGTTTTGTTAGTCCAACCTGGCAACAGCTTTTGTAGATGAAGCATAGATAGGTCAATTGTAGGTGATGCAATTTCTAGTGGACAGTGGCAATGTTGGCGACACCTCATATGATGTTTGTGGTAGAATCAGAGTTGAATGAATGACTGAACAACTATATGGCTGGATTAATGAATGAATGAATGGTCTGTTGGATGATTGAATGAATGAATGAATGAATGAGCAAAATCCACCCACACAAGAAACCGGCGAAAGAAAAGCCCAAAACGACTTGACCGAACAAATGTCCCTGTGAAGGTTGTGCTTTATCTTAATTACCTGACTGCCGCTAAACTCTCGCAGGAGAGCCTTTGGCAGGGTGATGGGCTCTGGGACTGGCACGAAACAGGGATAAATGACTTGGAGCTGGTTTGATCATGCCACTGGTAATTGAAACAGACACGCGCTTGGTCTGAGTGTGGCTAGGCCTTCAGTTGTCGGCCAGAAACCAGAAACCGAAGGCAGAGAGGGACACAAAGCCGTTTTCTGTGATGGAGTCTAGAACTGACTAGATTTTTTTTTATCCCTGGGGACAGAGTAAGGTGGAATAGTCTGTTGGAGGCACACTCCTGACCTCAGGCTCCTTCTAGAGGAGTGCCTTGATGATACAGAAGAGGCACCATCTGTGGTCCTGTTGGTTGGATCGTTTCAGAACCACCATGCTTTTGCGTGCAATTGTGTGCTGTCAGCAGTGGCCAGTGGCCTGTGCGACCTGGTTTTGAAAGTAAAACAGCAACTGGAACACTTGCCTGAGTTACTATTAGAACTTGAAGTGATGGTCAGACAAATTTACACATTATATTAAAGTAAAAATTGTGTTTCCCTAGTACTGAAAAGTTTTCCTAGTAAGTGGTGTTTTGTTGGCTCACTGCTGGTCATTGTTGGTATACAGAGTTCCAGTCTTCCAAGTTGTACCCACTACTGTAGAAAAGAAACACATTTTCCCTAGCCATTGCTTTCACTTCTCAACACTGTGTAACTTTATCTACTGTTACTGTGTTTCCTTTTTACTACTGTTACATTAGGGCTTGTGGAAGAAACGTTTCGATTCATGATTTGTTTTTTTCTAAAAGGGCCCATTTCTTGGAGAACAGAATTGCTTTCGATTTTTTTGTGATCAAAGAGTTTGATGTAGTACGTAAACATTAAAGTTACAAAACATACCTTTCACTCACAAGTCCATAAAGTCTGTAAATTGAAACTAAGCTGTAAAAACAACCTGATTTTAATTAATTGTTTGTGTGATGTCATGAAAACATATATCCTCCTGTTAAGCCTACAGCAGTTCAGCTCTACGCATTCACACTGCAGTTATAAGAAGTGTTTCAGCCCAAACTGCTTTTTAAAGGAGGCACGATACAAGCAACCAGTCAGAACAGTGATCATTTACATATATCAGTCTTAAAGGCACAGTAACAAAAACAGCCTGCTTAATTCTAAAGGAGTAAAGAGAGTTTGGAAAATGGTCATTTAAAAATGAATCACTTGGTGTATACCACAAACACAACAAACATTATAAGTGGCCTTCAGGGAGAAAAATAGTATACAGGAAAAATGTATAGAATATGGCCCTTTCACAAACAATTTAGAACTAAACAGCGATTTGATTCAGGCTTTTGTTAGAAATATTATAATGCATTAAAAACATTAAAAATATTAGCTGATAACAAGGATCTGGCCACATAATGCTTCTAACAGAGGAAACATTTGCAGTGTCTACTTACTATTGTGAACACTGAAGTCAGAGAAGAAGATTACATGTGTTTGTTTAAACAAATTTGCTTTGTTAATAAATCACATACTCATTTGATTTGTAACATTTAAAATGAATTTTTGACTGGCACAAAGTAATTAATGTTAGTTTTTTCCTTTTCAAATCATTGCTGCTGCAACGGGATGAATTCCACGCAAGATCAAATCAAGGAGTGAATCATAACACCACACTACATAGTATTTCTGAGCGGTGCCCCATGCAGTCTGAGAACGCTAGTTAAACTTTTTTATGTGTTACTGTAAAGAGTCCTTACATTTTTGCCAGGGTTCCAGTTGTAACAATATTGATGAACAGTAGGGCTGCACAATATTTAGTTTGTTGATTGATATTGTTATGATGGCTTTTGCATATGCAAACGAGCCAGTCACATTGTTTATTTACTGTGTGCTGACCAATCACAGCTCCATCCAAATAAGTGAATCAAGGTATTCCTGCAATCTGACAAACAGAAGTTATTTTGGTGAAAATAATGCAGACCAAACTTTAATCATGTCACATTATTGATTCACTAGTGTACATTTAATATATTAAATATTGCATATTGTGGTTGCAGTATTTAGCAATAGAATCACAGTACTAGTATTTTGTTTGTTTATTGTGCAGCCCTGTTTAACAGCAAGAGAGGGTCTTTTGAGAAGCCACTTTAGACATAGCAATATATGATAAACATTGCTTTGTGACTGTAATCTTGGCAACTCACATATGCTAATCTTTCATTGAAGTATAAATGTTTAAATTCTGCATGAATCATACATGACTATACCCTAACAATGACATGAATATTTCATCAAGTACTTAATACTGCGTCTCAGAAAGCTCACTGTACTTTATTGTTGCTTGTTGGGCTTCCAATTCAGATTCTTTGCCAAAGGGTCAGGCTCATGCGTACGCAGGAATCCAGATTAGACCTTTCTGACTGGCCGCATACTGAGGCACTTGCTGTTTTTGTGCTGCAGAAGGAGGGCTAGGGTTGTTTACATAATAACTTGCAGCAAGAACAGATTTGCGTAAATGGCTCACAATGTGCTTAATGGTTTATCTGTTGTATATAAAGGACACATGAGTCAGCTATGAATAGCCTGGGATTTCTTTAATTACTGGAAAAAATCAGAGACGCAATCTTAATTCTGTTATAAACAGCATTTTTCTGCTTGTTGTACATGCAGTGTTTCTTCTACAGTCTGACAGTTTGTGGATAAGAGTTGCATTCTTTGATTAAAATGCCTTTTCCTCCACCCCAAGCTTTAAACAGAGCTCTTGTAATAAGGGCCATATAACAAGCTGTAATTTTATTTAACTTACAAGGGCGTGTTATTTATTAAGCTGTGAACTAAGCATATGAAGTCATTGTTCATGTAAAAGGGGTTCCTGAGCGCTGGGCTGCTCACAAAGGGATAGATTTGATTTTTAGTTGTTCTGAAGCACTTCAGAGACAGATGAGAAAATCAGAGATGGAAAAAAAAAACGTTGAGAATTTTTTTATGCCCAGAGTGACGGTTACTTGGCGGAAAATCTTCCGCATTTAGCCTAGCCATTAACTTTCTGAAGCGAATAACAGGGCTTCCAAAGGCTTGGCAACTGAGAGAGGTGTCAGTTAGTTTTGAGAAGGATCCAGTACATCACGAAGGAAAGGCCAGCATTGTTTCAGGAAACTGTGGAAGCAATGGTGTAGCTAGCGCCCGCTCTCGCGCGCCACATATTTTTAGTAAGTCGATCCTGGACATCCCCTGCCAATTCCTGTTTCATCTGCTCTGTCTTTTAATGGAAATATCCACAGGGTTTGCCTTGCCTGCTTGCTCCTTTGGCCACATGTCAATCTCTGTGTCTGTCTGTCTGTCTCTCACACTGTCTCTTTCCCCTAAAGGAAACAAAGGCTAGTAAATTGACCAGAGACTTATCCACACGTGAATGGCTTCGGGGCCAGGTGGACAGAAGTTGGGCACCCTGCTGAAAATTTCTAGCTAATACTGTATTACAAGCATAATTACAATGTGTAGAAATGTATTCTAAATGTAATCATAGTGCATTAAACTGTGCGATTGTTCAGCAGGGTGAACAGGTAACACAGGCCATATTTGGTGACCCTTCAGGGCCTAACCCTGACCCCTGTGAATCATGTGACTCCTTTTGGCAGTCTGAACCATCGCCCCATCGCATTCCTCTCCACATCGCTAATATCGGCTCAGTCTTGTAAAGAGATACAACAGATAAAAAAAGAAAAATGCTCCAAAATATGAATAGCATAGTATCGAACTATTGTATATACATAGTTTTAGTTAAATAGTTGTAGTTTTCGTTGTTATTATTATTCCTGTAATGTACTATTATGTGATACTGTCATTTTGCACTATGGCATAAAATGTTTTTATTTATTTTACTTTTTAATAAACCTTAATTAAAATACTGCAAAACAATGACAAAAAGTCACTGAAAAATAGTTATTTTCATTGCTTTGAAAAAGTGCTTCAAAAAGTACAGCGATTTTTAACACTTAAAATAACATACATGCAAACTCACCTTTCAGCATTTTGAGCGATGAAAGATGATTATCTTTTTATTGCATTTCTAAATAAGGGGATGGGGTAGTGGGACAGGACACTAAGATACAGTGGTAAGTGTACATGTTTAGGTTTACAGGTTGAAAACATGCAAAGGAATCAGTACAAAAATATTTACTGCTTAGTACAGTTTAAAACTAAAGTTCTTGGACTCTTCCAGTTAACAGTAGCTGACTGCTTTGCTTTGTTGAGCCTGTCTGTAAGATGGTTACTGCAAAGTAGCATTAATTTTGAAAACAGAACTTTATAC